AAATTAGTTCGGTCAGGTATCGAAAACAAAACACGCAACGCTTAAACGGGTTTATTATAATATCAAAGGGAGTCATTTAATCGTGTTTTTCCTAATAATGTCTTCGGAATAATTTCATTCCATTTAAATTAGTAGCGTGAGTTTGTTTGCTGGAAATAAATAAATCCGTTTTATGTCCTCTAACAGGAATTGCCAAAGCGATACTCGAGAGCTACAAGCAGCCGTTTGACATTTAATGAGCTGCTCGCGGAAATCTATTGGCTCAGGTCTTTTCCTCATCACATGAAAATCCTCAATATAAACAGTAAATAAAAAAAGACATTTCAAAGTTTGTAATTATTTATTTTTATTATTATATTGTTAATCATATTTTTTATTCAATTTTTTTTTATATTTTTGTTAATCTCATTTTATATTAATGAAATGCAAATTCGTATATTTGTCGCCGTTGTAGCAATCACTACATCAAACACGGACGATATAAATAAAACTATCAGTCAAGATTTTAGAAGAATTTAGTGTATATATATATATATATATATATATATATATATATATATATATATATATATTTGTATATTTAGGCAGCAATCCTTCCTTTATGCATGTTTCATTAAAAACGACAGACAAGGTACTACAGTTGAGCTTTTTATTTAATTTTTCTTGTGTTCTGACAAGAGCTTTCTTTTCTGGACAAAGAGTGTGTAAGAACTGTCCGAATGTTCTGTGTTTCCGAGCGCTTTCGGCTATACCTTTAGCCATTATCAAGGATGGTTCAATTATCAGCTTAGTAGAGTTTGTGTTCTATGTATGTTCAGTGTGTGGTAGTGATGTTTTAGTTTCCGAATACTGTTAGCACATTGTGGCTTTGTTCATAGTTGATATTGTTAAGAGTTGGCTTTTTTTTTTTATTATTAGAGCTTCCATTATTTTTAGTCTTTTTTTTTGCAAGTGGATGCAGTTAATATATTAGTGTTTTCTACTAGTATGTTCCTAATAGTGTCGGGTAAATCTGAGTGTGTGTTTAAATGTGTTCTGATGGAACTGTGATCAGATAGATGTTTTAATGAAACATATATATATATATATATATATATATATATATATATATATATATATATATATTGCGACTGGTGAAATTACTAAAATACTTAAACCACGAAAACTGTACAAATACCACGACAGTTGCAGTGCGTGTGTCTAAAGCAAACCCATCTCACTTAGGCTGCTTTAAATTCAAAAATTATCAGTCTCTTAGAGTGCTTACCCTATCAAAGCTAAAGAGCTCAGTCTGCCCTATTACTTACGAGGATTTTCAATTCAGATTTTTCATACTATTGACTGTGCTCGATAGGTGAGGTTTAAAATACATTATCTGCATAAGTTAATAGCCTTTTCCAATGCGAAATGGACCAACATCTACCTTTTTCACTCGAGTGCAGAACAGATTATCTACATTTTTGTTATTGGAGAAAAACTGAGCTTTGTCTACCATTTTTATTCGAGTAAAAACTGGACATAGGTTTACTTTTTTGACACTGGTGCAAAACGGACCCTTTTAACTCGAGTGCAAATCGAATATGTCTCCTTTTTTAAAAACTATTTCAGAACGGACATTTGTCTACCGTTTTGTCAATAATGCAAACAGACGTGTATCCACCTTTTTGATTCGAGTAAAAACTGAACATAAGTCTACCTTTTTGACACTGGTGCTTTTTAACTCGAGTGCAAACCGAATATATCTCTCCCTTTTGTATCTGCTGTCAATAATGCAAACAGACTTTTGTCTACCTTTTTTTGATTCGAGTAAAAACTGAACATAAGTCTACCTTTTTTGACACTGGTGCTTTTTAACTCGAGTGCAAACCGGATATATGTCTTCCCTTTGTATCTGCTGTCAATAATGCAAACAGACTTTTGTCTACCTTTTTGATTCGAGTAAAAAACTGAACATAAGTCTACCTTTTTTGACACTGGTGCTTTTTAACTCGAGTGCAAACCGGATATATGTCTTCCCTTTTGTATCTGCTGTCAATAATGCAAACAGACTTTTTGTCTACCTTTTGATTCGAGTAAAAACTGAACATAAGTCTACCTTTTGACACTGGTGCTTTTTAACTCGAGTGCAAACCGGATATATGTCTTCCCTTTGTATCTGCTGTTGCAAACAGACTTTTGTCTACCTTTTGATTTGTAAAATCTGAACATAAGTCTACCAACTGGTGCTTTTTAATGCAAACCGGATATATGTCTTCCCCTTTGTATCTGCTGTCAATAATTTTTGTCTACCTTTTTGATTCGAGTAAAAACTGAACATAAGTCTACCTTTTTGACACTGGTGCTTTTTAACTCGAGTGCAAACCGGATATATGTCTTCCCTTTTGTATCTGCTGTCAATAATGCAAACAGACTTTTGTCTACCTTTTTGATTCGAGTAAAAACTGAACATAAGTCTACCTTTTTGACACTGGTGCTTTTTAACTCGAGTGCAAACCGGATATATGTCTTCCCCTTTGTATCTGCTGTCAATAATGCAAACAGACTTTTGTCTACCTTTTTTTGATTCGAGTAAAAAACTGAACATAAGTCTACCTTTTGACACTGGTGCTTTTTAACTCGAGTGCAAACCGGATATATATCTTCCTTTTGTATCTGCTGTCAATAATGCAAACAGACTTTTGTCTACCTTTTTGATTCGAGTAAAACTGAACATAAGTCTACCTTTTTGACACTGGTGCTTTTAACTCGAGTGCAAACCGGATATATGTCTTCCCTTTTGTATCTGCTGTCAATAATGCAAACAGACTTTTGTCTACCTTTTTGATTCGAGTAAAAACTAGAAATAGGTCTACCTTTTTGACACTGGTGAAAAACTGACCTTAGTTTAGCTTTTTTAATTTGAGTGCAATATGTCTAGGGCAAACCATGTCACTGTTTACATTTTTTTTATTTTACTATAAACCAAATATATGTCAACATTTTTTTACGACACATTGTGATTTTTCTCCAGTGAATGTTATATCCGACATTAAGCCTTTGCCTGTTTTACGCATCAAATGTGATGCACAGGAAATGCGATTTCCACGTCCGGCATCAAATGTGGTGCACATGAGCCATGACTTTTAAAGAGTTGTAAAACTAAGGACGCTTAAGAAAACAGTCTACTATTGAGCAGGTCGTCTGAGGAAAGGCCTACTCTAATATTCTGTGCATTCTATATGACCACAGGACGCTTGACTGATAAGGTGTCAAATAATAAGGTGTTAAATAGAATATTTATCTAGAAAATTAATTGTCATCCCAAAAATATCAATGCGATATTTACTCGCATAAAAAGGAATTTAAAAAAAAAGAATTCGTCTTACAATGCAAAATATGTTTTGGTATTAACCTTTTGTGTGTCCTACGCATCACATGGGATGCACAAGATATGTGATCATTTTAAAAGAGTTGTAAAATTAAATACGCTTAAGAAAAGAGTCTACTATTGTTTAGGATGTCTGAGGAAAGGCCTAATTTAATATTTTGTGCATTCTATATGATAAGGTCTCAGATGAAAGACATCTAATTTTTTATGAGTGTAAATTCTTTGCCTAAAAAAAAAGTGAGATAGAGAGAGATTTAATTTCCCTCCAGCGTCTTACATAAATTAAACAATTTAATCCTTTGTGTGTCCTACGCAACATATGTGATGCACAGGATATGTGATTTCCACGTCCGTACATCCTATTTAGTGCGCACGAGCTATCATTTTAAAAGAGTTGTAAAACTAAGGACGTTTTAAGAAAAAAAGTCTACTATTGCACAGGATATCTGAAGAAAGACCAAATCTGATATTTTGAGTATCGTATGTGACCACAGGACGCTTTCATGTTTTCAGATTTATTACTACTGAAAGGCAACTCAGCGTATTTGGCAAATAGAATCTGTTGATATATAGTGTTTAACATAATAAAAATATGTGTATCACGCTTGATGCACAGAACATATTGTAAATAACTTATGATTTGAAGGTTTTTATTATGTGAAACACTATATATCATCACATTTTATTTGTCAAATAAGCTGAGTTACCTTGCAGTAGTTATAAATCTGACAACAAGCATAAACGTTTGGATAGTATGCAAGAAAATGCCCTGGACAGGCAAAGGGTTAAATTGTTCTATTGACCATTTTGCTATAAAATGTATTGCTCGTCATTTTGCGTTAACCCTCAAGTTGTGTTTAGACGTCTAAATTAATCGTTGAAAATTTGATAAAACAATATGTACGTTCTGTGTATCACAGGTTTCTGTTATGTGAAACCCTATATATCATTACATTCTATTTGCCAATTAAGCTGAGTTGCTTTGCAATAGATATAAATCTGAAAACAAGCATGAACGTTTGTATAGTTCGCACGAAAATACCCTGGACGGGCAAAGGGTTAAATTACCGAACCAATTTTGAAATACCGTTAAAACAACTGACCTGACCAAACCATTACCCAGACTGGCTGTCATCCAAGGTAATAAATTCGAGACTTCTCTGCTTGGTGGGAAACAAGATGGATTCATGCCTTTCTCAAGTATATATCCGAAGTAAATAAAACAGGCTGATAGTTGTTTTGCTACCTGTATAACCGTTAATTGAATTAACCGTTTAAAACATTCGTATACTAATAAATTGCATTTCTGCTACCACCCGATTTTCACGCTTCGCTGGAAACAAAGAGATGAGTACTAAACTGTTATGTGATATCAGTCTTCCTATATGGCAGTGGATGTTAAACAATCTCCTCATAGATGAAGAAGAGATTTGAAGCAACAGAAATGTGGTACTACAGAAGGATGCTGAGGACACCATGAGCCGAACATAAGAGCAAAAACAAAATTTTAGGGAGAATGGAAACAAAATTTTAGGGATAATGGAAACAAAACGGACAGTCATACTTAACATCAGAGAATGGCAGTTGAAATTTCTAGGGTATATAATGTTGGAAGATAGCTTGGAAAATCTACGAAAAAGATATAGATAGATAGATAAATAGATACGAAAGAGATAGAGAGATAGATAGATAGATAGATAGATAGATACGAAAGATAGATAGATAGATAGATACGAACAAAGATAAATAGATAGATAGATACGAAAAAGATAGATAGATAGATAGATACGAACAAAGATAGATAGATAGATAGATAGATAGATACAAAAGAGATAGATAGATAGATACGAACAAAGATAGATAGATAGATACGAAAAAGATAGATAGATAGATAGATAGATAGATAGATAGATAGATAGATACGAAAAAGATAGAGAGATAGATAAAAACGAAAAAGATAGATAGAGAGATAGATAGATAGATAGAAACGAAAAAGATAGATAGATAGATAGATAGCAATAAAAGAACAAAAAATGAAAAAAGAAGGAAAATTTAATGAAGAGAAAGATAAAAGAACTTCTGAAAGCAAAATAAAATTAGTGAAAAAGTAAACGAAAGCACAAATGAAAGAAATAAAGTTTAATGAAAGAATAGATAGATAGATAGATAGATAGATAGATAGAAACAGAATGAGATAGATAGATAGATAGATAGATAGATAGATAGATAGATAGATAGATAGATAGATAGATACGAAAATGTTTGATAAATAGAAGCGAAAATTTTGATAGATACGAAAATGATAGATAGTCATGAAAAAAGCCACAGTATATAGACAGATATGAATATAAAATAGATATGAATAAAAGACTCACAGACATATATATATATATATATATATATATATATATATATATATATATATATATATAAAGACCGATTTAGTCTGTCTTTTTATTCGTATCTATCAATAAATCAGTATTTTGACAGTTTGTTCATTTTTTTTTTTTGAGTTTTTATATCAACTGTCATGTCCATATCAATGAGAAATAAATTATAGTTTTTGAACTCTTCAATTTAAAAAAAAATTGTTCTACTGCCTTTTATAGTGTGGTAGGTATGTATGTTGAACACTGTACGTTTTTCACCTTCTTCCACTGATTGTAGTTTCCTTTCATAGCATTTTTCTGCATGGGGCAGCATATCTTACAATGCAAGATTTTCCTTAATCTATCATGTCTATATTTAAATTCATTTGCAGCTAGGATAGAGCACTCAGATATTTCATTATTGCTATTACTAGTATTATTATTACTATTCTTATTTCAGAGAGATGCATACCAACAAAATGATATCGGAGTAAAAATATATGATGGCCATACCCCCACCATGTCATCTCATCCGATAAATGTATACAAGGCACATGAATCACTGCCAAATATATGCTATACGGTGACAGGTTTTGATAAACGTAATGCATGACTTTGCAGGTGGGGCCCAGTTAAAATATCTTTAGATTGCGTAACACCGTATGATAGATAGTCTCCGAATAAGGGTTGTCTTTAAACTTTATATATATATATATATATATATATATATATATATATATATATATATATATATATATATATATATATATATATCCGATGCGATGAGAACGAAAGTAATATATAAATTCCAACGTTCACAGCATTAATCCAAATGAGGGCTCGATACCGATAGTAGAGCGATAATTGTTCCTTTCATTTTCGATTCTCACCCGTCGAAGTGCAGTTGAAATGCACTGAAACCAAGTTGCATCTTTGTAGTGAGTAAAATGGTTTTGTCTATATGATAAAATTATAATAAAGGAATATATATATATATATATGTGTGTGTGTGTGTGTGTGTATAAATATATATATATATATATATATATATATATATATATATATATATATATATATATATATATATATATATATAATTATTTATATATATTATATGCACGGTACCTATAGAAAGCGCTCAATATCAGAGATAGAGCTAACATCAATCCAACCAAGTAAATATATATATATATATATATATATATATATATATAGAGAGAGAGAGAGAGATGGTTATTATTATTATTATTTTCTCTCTTCCCGCTTCTCACCCTGTCTGTGTCAAATAGTGAGATGTCAAACGAATCTTTACACTTTAGGAAAGAAAACAAAAGAAAAGAAAAAAAACACTGTTAAATTTAAGAGTATTGTGGGAACCTAACCTACCTACAAATAGACTATTCCACACTTATACAATGTGGCTACCAACTATGTGTTGGTAGAAAAAGAGCACTAGTGAGAGAAAGTACTCTCCTGACCATGTTTACTGTTGTACTTCTTTTGCCGAGAATATATTAGTAAAGCTTATATCCGAGTCCGAGTTATTATTTATGGTACCACACCATAATAAAGAGTATAAAAACTGGAAGGAAGGAAGGCAGGCTCCAAAAGAAAGAAATGTAACGAATGAAAAACAAAAAAAAAAACAGATAAAGCCAATGAGGGAAGAAAAAAAAGAGATCGATCACAACAGAAGGAAAGTGGGGGGGAAAGAACGATATGGAATAAAGATGGGAAAGAAAAATCAGATAAAATGTCAGAAAAAAAACAAAATAAAGAAGAAAGCTGAATGAATGTATGAATGAAAGTAAAGAAATAACGTTAAAGAGGGGGGTTATACTAAAAACGATCTTTATCGAAGAATAAATAAAAAGTGAAACAAAGCAAATAAAAGCAGTTATGAAAACAAAGAAAGAAAGAAAGAAAGAATGAATGAAAGAAAGAAAAAAAGAAAGAATAAGGCGAAGAAAGGAAAATATAGTACTAATATGAATTTAAAGAGAATATTATATCAAAATGAAAAGAAAAAACACCGCTTGGACGGACTGAGCAGAAAGAAAGAAAGAAAGAAAGAAAGAAAGAAAGAAAGAAAGAAAGAAAGTACTTCACTAAGATACAGTGATTAGTTGATAGAAAGAATGTAACGGAAATGAAAAAGAAAGAAACAAAAAAGAAGAGAATAGAAAGAAAGAAAAGGAAAAAGAAATATATGAGTGGATGATAAAAAAATTATTTAAAATTTAAGAAAAATAATAAAAACGAAAAAATAAAAACATAATGAATGAAGAAATAAAAAGAAAGATCTAAAGTTAAAACACGGATAAAAAATAAAATAAAATGCCAAAAAATATAAGGAAAAGATAGACAGATAGCAATAAAAGAACAAAAAATGAAAAAAAGAAATAAATTTGAATGAAGAAAAGGATAAAAGTACTTCTGAAAGCAACGAAAAAAATTAGTGAAAAAGTAAAAGAAAGCACAAATGAAAGGAAGAAAATTTAATAAAAGGATAGATAGATAGATAGATAGATAGATAGATAGATAGATAGATAGATAGATAGCAGGATAAAAAAAGAACAAAGGCAATAAAAATAACATTGAATAAGATGAATCAAGAAAAAATCGAAAGAAGAGGAAAAGACATGAGAGAAAATAAACTTAAAAACATTTTGTCTCTGATCTTTTCTTTTTTTTTATTTCCTTTTCCTGTGTAATTTTTTTTTTTTTTATCATGAAAATGGCTGAGGAATTTTCTTTTTCTTCTTCAACTGATATAGCTGGCCTCGATCTTACTAATATTTTAGAGATTACAGTCTTTTTATCAAGATTTACTTTATTCACTTCCATTTGAACAATTTGGGGGCCGGGGGAGCCACCTTTATGTCACTGATTTATCTTCATTATGAGTCAGGGGGACATCATTTTTAGATTATGAAAAAAAAGGGCGGGATATGCAATGGAAGAATGGATTAGAATCATTGGTAGAAAGTTTTGTTTTAGTGAAGTTGTTAGGATAAGGGGAGGTGGGGGAATCTGGGGAATGTAAGATACGGTTAGAAAGGAAGAAAGAAAAAAACACCAGATTGAAAGAAAGAAAGAAAGAAAGAAAGAAAGAAAGAAAGAAAGAAAGAAAGGGCTGAAAAAAGAAAGAAAGGGCTGAAAAAAGAAAAAGAAAGAAAGAAGAAAAAAGGAAAAAGAAAGAAAGAAAAAATAAAGAAAAGGCTTAAAAAGGAAAAAGAAAGAAAGGCTGAGAAAAGAAAAAGAAAGAAAGAAAAAAAGAAAAAGAAAGAAAGGAAAAAAAAAAGAAAAGGCTTAAGAAGGAAAAAGAAAGAAAGGGCTGAAAAAAGAAAAAGAAAGAAAGAAAGAAGAAAAAAGGGAAAAGAAAAAAAGCAAAAAATAAGGAAAAGGCTTAAGAAAGAAAACAGAAAGAAAGGGCTGAAAAAGAAAAAGAATGAAGAAAAAAGGAAAAAAGAACGAAAGGAAAAATAAAGAAAAGGCTTAAAAAGGAAAAAAGGAAGGAAGGAAGGAAGGAAAAAAAAAAAAGAAAGAAAGAATGAAAGAAAAAGAAAAAAAGAAAGAAAGAAAGAAAGGGCTGAAAAAAGAAAAAGAAAGAAAGAAGAAAAAAGGAAAAAAGAAAAAAGGAAAAAAGAAAGAAAGGAAAAATAAAGAAAAGGCTTAAGAAAGAAAAAAGAAAGAAAGGGCTGAAAAAGAAAAAGAATGAAGAAAAAAGGAAAAAGAAAGAAAGGAAAAAATAAAGAAAAGGCTTAAAAAGGAAAAAGGAAGGAAGGAAGGAAGGAAGGAAGGAAGGAAAAAAGAAAGAATGAAAGAAAAAGGAAAAAAGAAAGAAAGAAAGGTCTGAAAAAAGGAAAAAGAAAGAAAGAAAGAAAGAAAGAAAGAAAGAAAGAAAGAAAGAAAGAAAGAAAGAAAAGGCTTAAAAAAGGAAAAAGAAAGAAAGAAAAGGAACAGTCTTGAAACAAAGAAATACACAGCGAAACACGTGATTGGGGAAAAAGAAAGAAAGAATCAGGGAAATAAAAGAAAGGACAAACAAATAAACACGCAAACAAACAAGCACATAACTAAAAACGAAAGAAAAAAAGAAGAAAGAGAAAACGTACAGGATTAAAAGAACGAAACAAACAAAGAAGCGAAAGCAAGAAAGAAGTACAGGAATAAAAGAACGAAAGGAACAATCGAGCGAAAGAAAAAAATGAAAGAAAGAAGTACAAGCCTAAAAGAGCGAAACAAACAAAGAAAACAAGGGAATATAGAACAAAAAGAAAGAAGTACAGACAAAAAAAAACAAACAAACAAAAGAAAGAAAGAAAGAAGTACAGGAATAAAAGAACGAAAAAAATAAACTAAAAAAAAAGTACAGGCTTAAAAGAATGAAACAAACAAAAGAAAAACCGAAAGAAAGACCGAAAGTAAGAAAGAAAGAAGCGCAAAAAGAATGAAATAAACAAAGAAAGAAAGAAAGAAGTAGAGGCTCAACTGAATGAAACAAACAAAAGAAAGAGAGTAAGAAAAAAAGAAAGAAAGAAAGAAGTAGAGGCTTAAAAGCATGAAACAAACAAAAGAAAGAAAGAAACAAAGAAAGAAAAAAAGAAGTAGAGGCTTAAAGGAATGAAACAAACAAAAGAAAGAAAGAAATGACAATAACAGCAAAATTACAAAGGTAGGATTATCTGCTTTCATGCAGAAAACAGTCAAAATTTATTGACCGAATTGTCATTTGGACGTTTTTTTTTTGTTTTTTGTTTTATTTTTTTTATTTTTCTTCTGGAAAAATAGGTCCCAAGTTTCCACTAAATTTTATCGTTCTTTCTAATATTGATAAGGGTTTCCACCCTAACATTGTTTAACATCGTATGAACAGACAACATCTTGATTATATCATTATTTCCTCTTTATCGTACATCTGTTATCCATTTTCTTTCTTGTTAATTCTTCATGTGACGTGTTGTCATTTTTCCTTTGGTCTTTATTGAGGTTATTTTTTCGGTAGACATGATTTCGAATTTTTATAAACTTCGAATCTTCCTTGAATGTCCATTTCAGCCAATATGACGTCATTTGAAAACATTTGTATACGCGAGAGCAGTTATGAATGTACGAACATTGGAAGTTTATTTGCGTGGCCGACCAGTAAGGCATCGTCAGCGCCATAAATGACGGTTCCGTATAGGATGCAGGTTTGAACCCTGGCGTCACCAAAAGAACGAATATTTTCTTTGAAAATTTTTTTTGACATTGTGGCCGGTAAATGTTATTTAATACTTTTTGCGCTGCAATAAATAGAAGCGTTTGTTAAAAGCGTTGTATTCGATAAAAGAACGTATTAATGACATGGAAAAAATGTCTTTAATAAATAAATTGTCAATATGGTTTTAATTCTCTTTGTTTATTTTCTTAATATATATATATATATATATATATATATATATATATATATATATATATATATATATATATATATATATACAATGTATCATTCATACAAAAAGTAAATTATTTGATTCAAAAACTGATCCGACGAATTTTCGGGATAACAGCTGAGACATTACTCTATTTATTGAACTATTTACTTCATGACACATTGACTGATAAACTCCTACAACAAAAAAATTCTCAAATTGCCATATTAGTAAAAAAAATACACTCTCTTAAATTTTCAAAAAAATTCAACTTTAGCGTTGCGACTGCACATTCCAAAAGTTTGTATCTGTTATCAATAACACATTTAAAAAAAAAAACATATTTCGATTCGCATTATATTTTTTCGTCTCGGATGCTACCTGAATTTTACCAAAAATAAAATAATTTCCATGCCTGAAGATGACTGAATGTACAGTCGAAAGTACATGTGTATTTAAGAAAGACATTATACAGTTTATAATTTAAAAAAAAAAAAACCAGGGATCATAACATTCATCGGGTGATTTGTAGGTTAATGCACCTTTAAAATTTTGTTTGCGAAGGGATTTCTCCCATTTTATATCATTAACTTTACTAATCTACTTTTTGTATAAATGATATACTGTAATATAAATTGAACAACACACACACATATTATATATATATATATATATATATATATATATATATATATATATATATATATATATATGTGTGGGGGTTAACTATTTACTCATAGCCAGAACCCTAACAGGTTTTACCACCCCTGGTCAGGGTGACATGGGAACAATTCAGCAATTACGAGGCGGTTCCACGCTCCCCAAAGATTCCTGATCAGAAGCCTTGCTGTTGGATGTAGTTTACCGTCTTACCCAGGACGTGGATATAGTTTATCGTCATACATATGACAGGGTTGTCCATCTGATAACACACAGATGGTTAGAAAAGAATGGATTCATGCCTTTACTATATTTGACTGGCATTTGTAATCGGCTCTCCGTTTTCCCATGAGTTTTTTTATCCATTATATAATTTGATATATATATATATATATATATATATATATATATATATATATATATATATATATAATCAGAATTATATAATGGATAAATGCTTTATCGTAATAGTCGTAAATTTAATCTAAGTAAATTTGATAAGCTCTTGAATAAACAAAATAGTCATGGAGTTTTGTGATTATGAGTGATGAACGTACAGAATGTGACATAATTTGATATAGAAATGCAGAAAGAACGATAGACAGAAAAACACAAAAAAGAAAGAAAACATTAAAAAGAAACGGCAAAGACAGAGGGAAAGAAAAAGAGAAAGAGAAAAAAGAAAGAAAGAAAGAAAGAAATAACAAGCTAAAGAAAACATACAAAATGACGAAGAGAAAGCATGAAAAGCAAAAAGAAAGAAAGAATTACAAAATTCAAGTAAACAAACAAACGAAAGAAAGAAAGAAAGAAAGAAAGAACGAAAGAAAAGTATATGATTAAAAGAAAGAAAGAAAGAAAAAAAAGAAAGGAAGAAAGAATGCAATGGCAATTATATATATATATATATATATATATATATATATATATATATATATATATATATATATATTTTCATTTACACTGGTTGCAAATGGAGGGGAACTAAATTGTGTTGCAGTTTTTTGTACCACGAAATTTTAGGCAAATCGAACCAGACATTGTGACGCTTGTTTCTCTTTCGCTTCGAGTGAGATAGATTTACAACTAGAAAGAAAGAAAGAAAGAAAGAAAGAAAGAAATAGCAGGAAAAAGAAAAAAAAAAAAAGAAAGCAAGGGAAAGAAAACACGATAAGAAAATAACGAAGAAATAGCAGGGAAAAAGAAAAAATAAAAAACAAAAAGACGAAGAGAAGATAAAGAAAGAAAGAAATAAAGAAAGAAATGACAGGCCAGAAGAAAATTTGACACACAAAAAGTAGAGAAAGTATGACAAGAAAGAAAAAAAGGAAGAAAGTAAGAAAATGACAGACTAAAAGAAAACATACAAAAAGACGAAGAGAATGCATGAAAAGAAAGAAAGAAAGAAAGAAATGACAGACCAGAAGAAAATTTGACACACAAAAAGTAGAGAAATTATGACAAGAAAGAAAGAAAGAAAAAACAAAGAAAGTGACAGACTAAAAGAAAACATACAAAAAGACGAAGAGAATGCATGAAAAGAAAGAAAGAAAGAAAGAAAGAAAGAAAGGAAGAACGAACGAACGAACAAAAGAAAAAAGAAAGAAAGAAAGAAAGGAAGAACGAACGAACGAACAAAAGAAAAAAGAAAGAACAAAAGAAAAAAGAAAAGAAAACAAAAAGAACGAAAAGAAAAAAAAGAATGGCTTCGCTGTGTTGTTTAACCATCTTGTGTACCTGGAGCTTGTGTAAAATCTCGGTTGTTTTATGGCTAAATTTGACTAAAAATACTTTTACACGTATTTCAAGTGTTAGCCATTTTTTTTTAATTTTATTAAACAGTGAAATTAACAACAATCCGAACAATAATTTCAGAGAGGAATCTAATATATTTAGATGATCCTGTCAGATGACGTGCTCTCTCCCAGAAATTGGTATAAATATCCGTTCAGTATAACTGCAGTATAAATTACAGGTGGCTTTGTGGGTGTTAAGCAAGCAGAAATACGCCTGTGTATACGGGGTGGGGGGGTATTTGGAAAACGAGTAACCGGCTGGGGGTTGCAGGGAATGAAAATGAAAGAGAATAAGAAGACTAAAAATGGAGAGGATTGAGGAAAGGACAAAAAAGGAACAGGGTTCAAGACGACGGAAGATTGTAAATTGAAGATTTAAGATTGTAGTTATCAGGGAAGAAAGAACTCGGAAGGGATTTCCACAGTTGGGAAGTGCGAGAAAATAAACTGTTAGAGAGGTGACAATTACATCTAGCTGTTTCAACAGTAACGTGGTGAGTCCTAGTTGCCAATTGAGTCTTTTGTCATGTTCTTTCAGGACGTAGGCGATTATAGCTCTCTATCTCCCTCTATCCATTGCAGTTCTCAACAAGTTCCTTCCATTTGCTTCCTCCCCAGACTACGTTCTGTCATCCACTTGCTTAAGTATGCCATGTATGTCACACGTTGTTTTCCCTTGTCTCTCTTTCTTTCTATTCGACCCGTGAGTATCAGATTCCCCAGGCCGTCCTTCGTCATTATGTCTCCCAGAAATTTCAGCTGCCTCTTCCTGATGTTAAGTATAAGCCTCCTCCTTGTTTGCATCCTCTCTAAGATCTCATCGTTGCTCACCAGCTCGGTCTTTAACATCCTCCTGTAGAACCATATCTCCGTGGCCTTGAGTCTCTTCTTCATCTTTGAGGAAATCGTCCAACATTCTCTGCCGTAAAGAAAGACAGATGTCACGTAACAGCTCACTATTCTTTTCTTCGTTACCAAAGAAATCCTCCTGTCTCGCAGTACTCTGTCCAGCTTTTGAAATGCGTCCTTGGCCATTCCAATACGTCTACGGTTCTCACTTACCGTCGTCTGTCAAAACGCTTCCCAGATATGTAAACTTCCGCGTCTGCTTGATTCTAGTGTTCCCGACCTGCAAATCGCATTTCGGGCTTATCCATTTATTGATGGACATGCACTTCGTCTTCTTGTAGTTTATGATTAATTCTTTCTTCTCACTCTCAGTCGCTACATTCTGTAGGAGATTTTGTAATTTCTTTTCCGTGTCTGCTATCAGTGCTGCGTCATCTGCTTATCTTATGTTGTTAAGATTGTGGGGGTTTAAATTCATGCAGTCGGGACATAGGGTGAAAAATCTCATCATAACAGCAGCTATAAAAAATAGTTTTAGAAAAGAGTGAAGTCACGTCACGTCGGTGAGAAGAGGACTGAAAAAGAGATATCTAGTTGTTACGTTAATTTACCCACGTACACTTGGACTCACCCAGTCAAAAATAGGAGCAGGTACTGCCTTTTGGAAAGGGAAGTTTCCAGCAGTTAGCTCTGAGAGTCAGACCAAACATTCTTGCTGTAACACTCTCCTTTGTATATGTTTGTATTACTGTTTCTATTAATATATTTGTTTAACTCAATTCCTCTCTTGTGTCTTTATTTCTGGTCCTAACAAGGCCACAACACATGGCTCGATTACATACAATATAGCAAGTGAAACATAAACATTTACCCATACTTACCTGGCACAGGAGTTAACGGTGATCAGCTAGGCCGTTTTCCCAGAGCGAGGCCCTTCCATTACACTCCGGTTAGGTTGACCTTTGCGGTCGCACCAAATGTGGGCGGCTCCGGTGCGCTATTTCTCATTATTCACGTCTAAATTGAAACATATGTATTCGTAGCTCCTTGCGTCTTAGTGATATTCTTGCCTTGTTTGGGGTTAATTGATTATTTTTTTTAAAGTTTCAGATTATTCACAAATGTTGTCGAGGTTGTGGTTAACTCACAAAAAGTTGGCCATTTTGAATTATTTTTGTTTTATTGTTTAGAGTTTAATTTAATATGGCCGCTCAAACAAAACGTGATTAAATTATCTCATTGAAAATGGCTGGTATGAATAATTATGAGGTGATAAAATAGTTGAGTGAATTTAGTGCGTGGAAAACGTTTCAAGACGAACTAACTACCTCACCAAATCCAATTCCAAGAAACCTTTCAGTTCGTAGTATGAGAGTGACTGAAGCGGCCAAGAAGAGACCGAAGAGAAATCCATGAAAAAAGAACATCTATGTGGCAAAAGAGCTGGATAATTTCCATAGGTCGGTAGGGAGGATTGTGAAAGAGGATATAGAGCTAAAATCCTACAATATTCCATAGGGACAGCTGCTCTGAAGAGCTTACAAACAAAAACGAATTGACGGGAAGAGGAAAATGTTGGAAGAGTTGCAGTGTGCTGCAGACGAAATCTTTGTTTAGTTGAACAAGAACTTTTCACTTTAGGGGCTGTGGTCAACTAACAAAATTATAGGGCTTATGTGGGTGAATAGGTTGTTTTTCTTATACATGTCAGCGGTCACCAAAATCATCATAGCAGTAGAAATTAGCCTTGTGTTCATGAAGATAAAAACATACTTGACAGGAAGTACACAACACGAAAAGCATGATAAATTGTATGTCAATTTCATACAATTTATTGATAGTTTTGTGTGTATCGGTGTCTGTGTTTATTCGGCTACAATTGTTTTATGGTACATGTGATAAAAGGGAGAATTTATTACTGCGATTACACGCCATATCACAGAGAAATCGAATACGTGTTGCCCGTACCAAGGTTCGCGTGAAGTGATTGAGTTTTAGCGGGATGTTCGTATTTTCGGGGACAACAGTTTTTGTAACATGCTGGTAGTATTTTTTATTCTTTAAAATTTTTATTTAATTTATTTTATACAACGTTTTTATTATTGTTTTATTTTAATTTTATTTATAATTTTCTTTATTATTATTATTATTATTATTATTTATATTTTATTTTTACTTGTTTATTATTATAATATTTTATTATTATATAAAAATATTTATTATAATTATAATAATATTCCTACATTCATACCACTTCAGCAGGAAGCATACCCTAAAGTACCAGTACACATTTCAAGCGACAGAAACCATGGTTTAGGTTGCTATTGCTTTTGATGGTTTGAATTCGCGCTTGTTTATTGAAGAAGGAATTAAAATGAATAGAAAAGTTTACCAGTAAATATTGAAGAGAGACATGTTGCCTAGATTGGCTCTCCTGTGACATTTGGAAGACGCTATGTCTTCACTCAAAACATCAAAACAGAGCTCCCGCACACCCGCCCAATTCCACGCAGAACTGGAATAAGCGACGCTACTTTGCAGATTTTTGACAAGTCAAGTTGACCTCCATCTTGCCATGGATGAATCCTATGAACTTTGCGATGTGTCCCACATTGGAAAGCGATGTTTCACGTATCTCATCTGTGTCAAACCTGAAAAAAAACTTGGCGCAGTTCGAGCAAAGAGCGGACGAAGAAGCCATGCACTTCAATTGAAAGGGCTTCGATATAAACAATAAATTTTGGCCAAAATATATATATATATTATATTATATATATATATATATATATATATATATATATATATATATATATATATATATATATATAACATTATGAATGATGTTTATATATACATATATATATAGAGAGAGAAACATTAAAATTGATAGAATAAAAATGATGTGGATGAAGAGTAGACAGACCAAGAAATTTATACATTTAATATTTTAAAAATACTAGATAAATAATAGATAGATAGATAGATAGATAGATAGATGAATAGATAGATATGAACTGTCTGGGATAGATAGATAGATTAATATGAACTGTCTGGACTAGCTAGCTAGCTAGCTAGCTAGCTAGATAGATAGATAGGAACAAATCCGGATAAATAGAAAGATATGAACAGACTGGAATAGATAGATAGATAGATAGATAGATAGATAGATAGATAGATAGATAGGAACAAATCCGGATAAATAGAAAGATATGAACAGACTGGAATAGATAGATAGATAGATAGATAGATAGATAGATAGATAAAACGAAGTTTGCGAAAAAGTTATATGTATATAGTTTTATTATTTTTATTATTTATCATATATTTGTATCTCTGTATATGAATATTTGATTCTTCAGTTCCACTAGACAAAATGATATTTTTCAAAAAATCAAAAAGCATTGAAATTTCAAATGATAAATGGTTTCCGTTATCTTTCGAAATATTTACTGACATCTACGTAATCAGAACACCTGCAGAGCTAATATTCCCTCCAGGAAAACAAATGTAATTATGAAATACAGTTATGAACAACACCTATCCAAATTTGGTTCACAGATAAAAATTACTATTACGCATGCGCACAAATGGATAAATAGATAGAAAAGACATAGAAAGAAAGAAAGAAGGAAAGAGAGAAAGAAAGAAAGAAAATGAGTGAGAAAGAAAGAAAAAAGGAAGAAGTTACATAGAAAGAAAGAGAAAAAGAATAAACTTGGAAAGAAAGAAAGAAAGAAACGGACTTAGAAAAAGACCACGATAGAGAAATAAATAGGAAGAAAGAAATAGTAGAACCAGACTTAGATAAAGAAAAATAAAGAAACAGACTTAGAAGAGACTTAAAGAAATAGAAAAAAGAAAGAATTAGAAGAGAATTAGATGAACAGAAAGAAAGAATTAGATTTAGAAAGAAAGATACTTCGAAAAAGAAGACAGGAATAAAGAAAAATACTTAGAAAGGGAGATAGATAGGAATAAAGAAAGAAAAATAAAGAATCAGACTTAGAAAGAAACACATTTAGATAGAACAGACTTAGATAAATAGAAAAAAGAAACAGAATTAGATAGAAAGTAAGGTAGATAGAAATAAAGAAAGAAAAATAAAGAATCAGAAAGAAAACACATTTAGATAGAACAGACTTAGATAAATAGAAAAAAGAAACAAAATTAGATAGAAAGTAAGGTAGATAGATAGGAATAAAGAAAGAAAAATAAAGAATCAGACTTAGAAAGAAACACATTTAGATAGAACAGACTTAGATAAATAGAAAAAAGAAACAAAATTAGATAGAATAGATAGATAGGAATAAAGAAAGAAAATGAAGAATCAGACTTAGAAAGAAAAACACATTTAGATAGAACAGACTTAGATAAATAGAAAAAAGAAACAAAATTAGATAGAAAGTAAGGTAGATAGAAATAAAGAAAGAAAAAGAAAGATTCTGAATTAAAACGAAAGAAATGCACTTAGAAAGAAAGAGACATCGATACAGAGATAGGAAAAAGAAAGAAAATGAAATAAGACTTAGAGAGAGAGAAAGAAAGATACTTCGATAGACAGATAGAAAGAAAGAAAATGAAGAACCTGACATATAGATAAAACGAAACAGGCTTCGATAGAGCGATAGGTAGGAATAACCTGAGTATTATATACATATATATATATATATGGAGAAGGTTGGAATGGACCGTTCTCTGAATACATGTCTCAACAAACGTGTCTGTGTCCGATTAATAGTATGAGAATGAAATTCGAGTGACATGAAGTGTAAAACCTGTCTCCAACTGTGTGTTAGTCAAATGACTTAACTCAACAAATCGAGTACTGCCGGCGTCAAACAACTGCCGGCTATTTATACAAGCTAGCTTTCAGCCAAACTCACATGCAGGAAGTTATATCACTATCCTGAACTTTTCGTTAATGTCATATAACTGGAACATTTCTAAATTGATGTCGTAGACATATAGATAGAGTGAGAGTGAGAGAGACAGACTTAAGTAGATATATACAGACATACCTACATACTTCGAAAGATGTATATAAATATATAATGAATAATCATAATGAACATAGATATGAACAGGCTGATATAAATAGGTATCAATAGACATAGATAGATAGATAGATAGATAGATAGATAGATATAAAATGAAGATAGATAAAAAAAATGAAGATACATATATAGAGAGATGAAAATAAATATATAAATAGAGATAGAGTATATAAAATAGATGATGAATACTCGTAGATAGGTGTTAAGAGGCTGATATATATATATATATATATATATATATATATATATATATATATATATATATATATATATTATAAATTAATTGATTTAAAATATGTTTTTTTCGCTACACAGTTCTAACCATGTTTCAAAAATGGAAGCTAAAAGCCCCGAATTTAATTTTGTAATTAAATTAAAAGACATTAGTTCTATTTCATCCTCAAGCGAGCCAACACACACACACACACACACACACATATATATATATATCAATCCAACCAAAAATATATATATATATATATATATATATATATATATTTGGTTGGATTGATGTGAGTTTGTGACACAAAATAGGGAACCCAGGCTGAGCGCTTTCTAATAAGTACTGCGCATATAATATATAAACAATTACATATATATAATATATTAGACACATATATATATTATATTTATATACACATACTTTTCACACACACACACACACACACACACACACACATACATATATATATATATATATATTAATTTGAAATGAAATTTTGATGATTATAATGCGATTATAATTTTTTGCTGTCTAAATTGACATGACTATTAGACATATTACTGTATCTGTTTTAATTCTGATCACCCCCTCCTTTGCCCTGTATATTAACTTGTTCAGCCCTTTACGGAAAAAATTATTTCTATGTGAACCTATCGGCTGATATTTAATTCTTCCTTACTTCTTTCTTTTGTTTTCTTTTCTTTCCCTCTCTCTCTCCCTCTCTCCTTCTCTCTCTCATTCTCACCTTCTCTCTCCCTTCTTTCTCTACCTCTCTTTTTTTCTCTTCCCCAATTGTTTTCTTTTTTTTAAAATCTTATATTAAAATTTTTATTATTCTTTCTTTCTCTTTTAATATAAAAATATTTCCTTTTCCTTTTTCTTTCTGTTTTTCCTCTCTCTTTTCCTTTTGTCTGGACAAATTGATTTCATTTCTAAAAAAACTTCGGTCTGAAGAGATGGATATATATATATATATATATATATATATATATATTTAATGTGTTTAATTATTATATTGCTTTGTTACTTACATTGAGCTCTCTTTGGATCAATGTCCTCCTTAGAATTATCCTTACCAACTGGTATGTCTTGCTTCATCTTGTCTGATGAGCTGAGATATAGCGAAACAGTCCGTCTGTAGATGGCAATATATACGCCCCCGAAAAAAATTGAATAAATTCGGTCGAGCACTTTAGGGGGAAACCGCGAATTTTTAAACAGTGACTGCTACTGCTGATAATGCAAAGCTCTTCTATGAATAGAGCACTCTGAGTCACTGGCGTGTTTATTCAAAAATAAATACGTAAAAATTCACCTTCTCTTGTGGGAGCTGATACCTTTGGAGGTAAATCTCTGACTGGTGCCAAATCAGTCGGGTTTCGATTCTGGCTTGAGGCAGTTGAATGTCTAGCCACACTGCTTTAGGCAATCTAGTCACACTGATGAGCTGTGATACAGCGAAACCATCTGTCTGTGGATGTGTGTGTTTTGAACAATAAAAGATACTAAAAAATTAGAATCTTCATTTTGTTTTTATTATTTCAGTTAGATTCCTCGACTAGTTTCGGCCAACATGGCCATCATCAAGAGAAAAAAAAGTTCTGCTTGTTAGTAGCAGTGAACTACAGAAATGAATGACTTGATGGAGAAAATGAACTTTACCTGTAGTTTTCATTTGTTTGTTGTTTTTTAATTTTTTTGACATTAGCTTTGGTCAGTCCTTGTGTTGGTCAAACAGTCTCTTTTAAGTTGTTATTTAAAAAAGAGATGGATGGATTCATGCTGCTCTGAATTCTCTTGGTCATTTTGACAGTTTTATTGGTTCCTAGAAAGGAGATGTATCTTTGTTCAGTGCGTGTGTTATTTGGTTCTTAGGGAGTGAGTGAGTATGATGTGTGTAAATGTGTATATTAGTATGGGTGTGTGTTATCATTTGGATCATTAGGGAGTGAGTGATTAGGATGTGTGTAAGTGTGTATATTAATATGGGTGTGAGGCCTCAACACCTCCGCAAGCATGTGGGTAGGTCCTGATTTGTGGGGTTATATATTAATTCTATATATGTTGTTAAATCTGTGATTAAGCCCGTCTGGATGGAGCTTTTTTAAGCCCCGAATTCACTTATTTTCATGGCCTTCTAAAATCTTTCTAATGTTATTTGCTCTGAACTTTTTTTATTTTCTCAATCATAGCGAATTTGGCATGGGTTTTAAAATCGTGTTTTTGTAGGCGAAAATGATGTTCTACAGGTAATAATCTTTTATGGGGAGTCGACTTAATTTGATTGCGATAATTATTAATTCTGGAGTGAAAGGGCCACTCAGATTTTCCTACATATTGTTTCTGGCATAGTGTGCATTCTAGGAGCTAAATTATGTTATGACTTGTACAGTTAGAATCGTGGTAGATTTTGAAAGTAGATTTAGTGACTGAGCTAGTGAATGAATTCGTGTGTCTAATGTGGTTACAGCATAAGCTCCTTTTTGTTGTTACATGGTTGAGAAAAAACAGTTGTTTTTGTTTTTGTTTTATTACTTATTCGCTGAAATGTGGTTACTGTCTATAATTTCCTTTAGGTTATTAGGCCTACGAGATGCTAGAAGGCCGGGTTCCTCAAATAGGTCTGGTTTGAGATATAGAATTTTCCCAGCGACTTTTGATTCTTTGGGATAGTGGAGGTAGAATGGGGTTGAAAGTGCGGTGATATATATATATATATATATATATATATATATATATATATATATATATATATAGAGAGAGAGAGAGAGAGAGAGAGAGTGATAATATTAGTAGTTAATATACACACACATATATATAAAATATATAAATATATATACATACACACACACACACACATATATATATATATATATATATATATATATATATATATATATATGAAGAAAATATACGGAAAAAACAAACAAAAAATCCTATTATGCAATTCTGCTGTTTTAATGTTTTAATGTTATATATATATATATATATATATATATATATATATATATATATAAATTTCCAAGTAGACAGAATCCAGGTAGAACTCAATGTCCAGAACGGTGTAAGAATATACTAAAAAGCTTAAACACTAATATTCCATGGTTATAATTTATTACATTGGAATCGTATTACGATCAATTCATCAGACCTACAAATTTGTAGGTCTGATGAATAAATTATAACCATGGAATATTAGTGTTTAAGTTTTTTATATATATATATATATATATATATATATATATATATATATATATATATATATATATATATATATATATAATGAACAATCATAGGTAGATAGGAAGGTATGTTTGAGTTCCAACTCTGACATTCACAAGTTGAAAGGCTATTTTATTTCTGGGCGAATTTTTGAACGGGTTCAGTCTTTGTCTATATGTCTGAGACAAGGTATTGGAATTATTTACACTATTTACATTGTTATATATCTTTGTCGGCATATTCACGACGTTTCGGCGGCTGTACGCCCCGGCCTTCTTCAGGTGGTTGGAATTCTTCAGGTGAGTGGCCCAGTGGATAAAAGCGTTAGTTCAATCCAGTGACTTGATCCAAAGAGTTGTGAGTTCAATACCTGGTTACAACCGAGGCTCACAAAGTCTTGGAGAGTTGATTTATACTGATACTGAGATATCCAGAAGATGCATAGCACGTAGAACTAGAATAATCTTAACCGGCAGAAGAAATAAATCGTTCAATTCGAAATTCCAATCATCTGACGGTCGAAATGTCGTGAATATGGCAACAAATCTGAGGAAAGCAGTTTAAACAATGTAAATATTATAAATGAATCAGTCTTTCTTACAAAATCGAGAAATGAAAGTTGTATTGAACGGCAACTCGTCTACATCTTATCGTACTAATACAGCTGTCCCCCAGGTTTCTATCTGCAGATTGGAATAGCTGGAATTTTGTTTTAATTCAGAGTTGTCCTTTCTATACCGATAAATGAAATCTATAGGAGTCATCCTGTCCTGTTATTTCACCCATTGCTGGAGTGAAAAGATGTGTTGGGTTCATGCCTTTCCAAAGCGTATTTGCATGTAAGTGACTGTAACGAACCCGACTGGAATTCGAACTCGGCTCGCTGATTCCTCCGCCATGTCTCCCCTAATTCATAAAATCTTTGAGTGTAAGGTGGCGTAACGAACCCGACCGGAATTCGAACCCGTCGTGCCGATTCCAAAAAGCTAATCATTAAATGGGGCGCGGTTATAGATATATTTCTACAGGCAAAACTGACGTAATTATAACGAAAATACTTTTACATCTTCGATATGTGATTAATATTTTTGTCTTCATTTTTTTCATTTTTTTTAATTCGTGAAAATATAATTATTTTACATAATTCTCTCCTTGCTTTATTTTCAGGTTTTGTTATTTGTTTTTTGCTTTTTTCTTCTTTTTCTTTCTTTTTTTTTCTTTTTTGGTTTGCTTTACTTTTTAGTTACGAAATTCAGTCGAAAATGTAGGGAAATTCGACCCTTCAGAAAAAGCAATTAACTCCGGCATACGTTTTCATAAATGTGCCAATCGTTTAATTTTTGAATAACTAGATACTCCATATGGCTTCTGCGGTATATAATTTATTAATCCTGACGATAAAGCGCCCCCTGGTGGTAGCAATCGTCCATCTTTTTACTTTCTGCTAAAGTAACATTTGCTAAAATTATGAGTTTTATTATATAGTTATTTCCTTGAAGTTATCAGTAACGTAGACCATATTTTGATGACTGACATGTCTGCTAAAGTAACATTTGCTAAAATTTACAATTCATGTGAGAAAACTGAATAAGGAAATGTTCTATAATCCCTCAACTAGTAAAAAGTGAGAGAAGCTCGCTCAACGTCCATCTTATTAGCGAAATGTCTGTTGTCCATCTATAAACATCTACACGCATATGTGCGTCTATCGGGGGTAGATGACACAAACAAAATTTATTTACATGCTTACATTCTGAGACAACTTTCAGATTTTTCTCTTTGAATTTCTGGGATTAGGAGTTATCATTATCTTACTTATTATAAAACGCAGATTGTGTGTGTGCGTGTGTGTGTGTGTACGTTTATATATTGTATCGGATTTCCTACATTTTTGAACCGATTTCAACAAAACTTCACAGGACTACGTAAAATTATCTGGCGGTGGTTCTGACCGCGCCAAAAATTGGAAAAACACAATTGTTTTTGCATGAAATCAATTTGAAAACACGATTAAGAGGCATTAATGAAAGGGGGACAACTCATATCGAGTTATACTTATTAATATCGAGTTATACTTATTATAAAACCCTGGTTGGTTGTGTGTGTGTGTGTGTGTGTGTGTGTGTGTGTGTGTGTGTGTGTGTGTGTGTGTGTGTGTGTGTTCGTTTATATATGGGATCGGATTTCCTACTTTTTTCAACCGATTTCAACAAAACTTCACTTTTTTTGGCAGGTAGTATTTCTTATTGTCTTGAACTCTTTTTTCTTTATTTTTACATTCAGAATGCTTTAAAAATTCCATTTACAAGACAATTGTTTATAATAAAATTCTATTCAATCGGTAGACTCATAACGATTGAAAACAATGTTTTTGTTTGAGTTTGGGTTTGACCAATTCGTAAAAAAAAAAACTAATTAAGACATGCGTGTCCGTCAACATTAAATAATAATCTTTGTCAATTTTATTTTTCAGTCTTTATGATGGTCGATACATGATCTATCTCTTACTGTTGCATCCCCGGGCAACGCCGGGCTCTACTGCTAGTTTACATTATTAACATGCGGGCTATTGTGCTCATCTTTTTTGTTGTCGTCACAAAGATTCGACCGGAAATGGGGCGAGCAATGAATGAGCAATACTAAATAAACAGTAGACGTGATATCCCTAGACAAGGACATAGGTCAATGTTTTGGTCTTATAGAATAGTTTTTACCAAACCCAAACATTGACCGATGCACTGTTAAGTGAACTATCCCTAGTGCAGCCAATTCTATGTTCAATTTCCTTATTTCTTATACTAAATCTGTTATAACCAATTTGCACACAATCGTGATTGAACTGTTTGGTATTTATTAAATCCACGTCCTGAAATTTTATGATGGAATCAGTGTACATTCCATCACTGCTTTCATTCCATTCCATTTCCCGATCATACACCTTTGTGCAAATTCATTGTAAACAACAGCTTTAGTTTCGCCATTCAGCCAGTTTTAGACACATTGGAGTGACAGGATTTTATCTATTTCTATTTTTTTCCTCAGATTAGGTCATTTGCAGTGGTGTGCAGTAATATCAATCTATTTTCGGGGTGTATGATGAAATTTGTTTTACCTTGAAAAATATTGCGTCATCCGTGATTGCATCAGATTTTCATCACGCCCAGACACTATTGTCTTGACTGTCAATTAGTTGTCCTATGGCTATTGTCTGCGATGGACGTTACTCCATGAAAGCGTACGAAAATTGTAATGCTGCATGAACACACTGGTTAGCCTTACCAGTGAGCAACTCAAAGTACCATAGACTGGCTAGGAAACTCTCCTGATTTAAATCCAGTCGAGAATCTGTGGTCAATCTGCAAGGAACGACTTCGTGGAATGGACATACGAAGTACTAACAAGTACACTGGGTCACGTTTCATTGGAAAAATACGAAAAAAGTAAATAATAACGTAATTATTCGTTTCATTTCAATTAATTTGCACAGAGGTGTAGTTTCTGTTTTGGAAACGTTTATCTTGAGTCCTATTTTTGGAAAAATTTGTACGATCACCGAAGTTAAGCAATAGCGAGACTGGTCAGTACCTAGATTGGATAGCGCCTGCGAATGTCAGGTTCAGTAAGCTTGGGTGTGCGGATGGTGTAATGGTTATGTAATGAATATGTCAGCAGCTGTTGCTGCTGTTGGCAGTCCCCAAGTGATGTGGTTTATCTTATCTGACACAGTTCTTTGTGATTCTTTAGCGAAAAGTTCGATGAAATGTTTTCATCAGGAACCACAGACTTTACTCACTCAAAGCCATAAATCTTAGAAAGCCACTTTGGGCTGAGAATGTAGATGTTTCTGAACAGGTTTGGCGTCATGCATGACATCCACATGAAGGTCTTGATCTGACGAGGCTATGCAAGAACGTGACTAGAGTTTAAGGTTTTAATTATCTAAGAATGGCAATGATAATATTAACCGTTTCCCTACAAGGAAACGTTCAGCATTCATTGACCGAGCACCCAGTATTGTTGGAATTTATAAAATCTTCACTATTTACAATGATCCGACTATCGTCCTCATCTTTGTTGCCATATTTATCACAACGCTTCGGCCCTTGTACGCTCCTACCTTCTTCAGGTAGTTGGAATAACGAAATGAACCCTTTAATTCACTCGCTGGGGTAGACTGTTCTAGTTCCACGTGCCATGTCTAATAGATGTCAGTTATAAGTTATTTCCTGTTAATTCGCCTCTCCAAGTTTCGCACCAGCTTAACCAGGTATTGAACTCACACACTTTGGGTCCTGTCACTGGATCTAACTAACGCCTTTATCCACCGTGCCATGTGTCTTTCTGTTAAAACATTACTTCAGGAAAATAAATTTCTCAAATCCTGTAGCTGTTATTAATGTTTCCAGTATTGATGGGTGCTTTCTTCTTAAATCTTTTATTTGAAGTAGCATAGAATGTCAGCATGTGGATTATGTCATTATTTTCTGTTTGAGTTAAATGTGATATCCATTTTAGTTGTTGCTGCTATTGGGAGTCCTCAAGTGATGTGGTTTCTCTTATTTGGTATTCTTCTTTGTTTGGAATCACTATTTCAAAGCCATTTTTAACCATTGATCGTAGAAAGCGGTTGTATAGAGCTGAGAGTTTAGATATGTCTGAAAGGTTCGACATGGTGAGGCTACTTATGAAAATGAATCGAGTTTTAGGTTAATGTTTTGGTTGTGTAGCGGAGCCTATTCTTCGATCACTTCCCTTATATTTTATCTAGCAAGAATAAACGTCCCACTACTACATAAGAATGTAGACAAGCTAGTTTTCCGTGCTGTCCAAGACAATATTTTGGGGGGCAATTTTCAACTAATTATATATAGGCAGGGTGGTGTAATGGATACCGGCTTGAGGAATCGGAGAGCCGAGTTCGAATTCCAGTCGAATCCATTACATTCACTTACGTGCTAAAACCCTTGGGCAAAGGTGTGAATCCTCTCTTATACTAAATTCATTATAACTGATCCATACACAGGGCTATTTGAACTGTTTAGCATTTATTAATTCTACATACTGAATTTTTAGGGAAAGCAAGGATTCAACATCATTTTCTAATTCCAGCTATTGTTAAAATAGTAGGGAGATTAAGAACTTCAGCCTTGTTTGGAAACCAGTCCACGAGAAGAGCAATGTAAGCCAGGAGTTAGGCCCTTAAAGTGGTTACTATTGTAACCTAACTGATAGCAATGCATATAACTATCCAAAAATATATGCCTCTCGGGGCTTTCTCATTCTTTTGTCGATTCATGGCAAATAAAACTTATACAAGTCTATAACGTCAATATTTCTTCTTTGCATGGATAGATTTGGTGGCGAAGTTTCTTCTTATTCGTTCGTCCGTTTTTTTTTTTCTCCAACTTGTTGCAAATTGATTAGCGTCTCGCACTTTCTCCTATTATTTTTTTCTTTTTTGACTTCCCTCCCTCTTTCTCTCAGTCTATCACGCTTTATAACCACTTTCTTTCTTTTTCTACCCTGTCTCTTTTACTCTCAAATCTCTTTCTTTTAATTTCCTCACTCTCTCACCGATTTATCCCCCCCAACTAACTGCTTTACTCTTTCTCTCATTTTGCACCGCAATTATTGTTTTTGTCTGTCTTTCTTGTATTTTGTTCTCTAAGCTTCCCACTTTTTCGGAAGTAGATGAAATAAAATCGCTTAAACGTGTAAAAAAGAATATCACCATGGCAACTCGTAATTGCATGTATTAGAGGCTCTAATGAATTGGTTAAGTATACCACTTCACTCGATCTTCTTTCAGGTAAACAATATGGCTTGCCGTTTCCCTAGGTATATGATTCCCAAACATTTTTTCTATGGCTCGCATCTTCAGAATTAAAATTTGATCACGCCTCACCCAATTCTATGTGATAAAAAGTGCATTTAGAAATAATGAACAGCGTGAGTGTTAAAGGGAGATAACCACGGATTCGAAATCAGAACATTATCATTGATAACTCTCTCCTCCAATTTGCGAACCCTAGTTACTATATTCTTAATACTTGATATAATGAAAAGAAATATCACAATGATAAAATCGGTCAATAATTATTTATACAGGGGGTCATGCATGTAATTACAAGTAATCCATGATAATGTTTTAAATTCTGAAATCATATTTACCTCTGGCATATGAATTTTTTGAAACTGTTTCTAAATCTTTGATTGTCTTTCAATCATTCCGCCTTACCTGCTATCCTCTTCCGCCTCACCGGCTATCCTCTTCCGCCTCACCAGCTATCCTCTTCCGCCTCACCAGCTATCCTCTTCTTCCTCACCTGCTATCCTCTTCCGCCTCACCGGCTATCCTCTTCCGCCTCACCCGATATCCTCTTCCGCCTCACCGGCTATCCTCTTCCGCCTCACCTGCTATCCTCTTCCGCCTCACCGGCCTATCCTCTTATCCTCTTCCTCCGCCTCACCAGCTATCCTCTTCCGCCTCACCGGCTATCCTCTTCCGCCTCACCCGATATCCTCTTCCGCCTCACCTACGATCCTCTTCCGCCTCACCAGCTATCCTCTTCCGCCTCACCTTTTATCCTCTTCTGCCTCACCTTTTATCCTCTCCCGCCTCACCGGCTATCCTCTTCCACCTCACCGGCTATCCTCTTCCGCCAAACCTGCTAATCCTCTTCCGTCTCACCTGCTATCCTCTTCCGCCTCACCTGCTATCATATTCCGCCTCACCGGCTATCCTCTTCCGCCTCACCGGCTATCCTCTTCCGCCTCACCGGCTATCCTCTTCCGCTGCATCTATGAAGTGAGCTGCACCGTTTGAGCACCACTGCCCGAAGTCAACCGAAGATATTTTAACAGTTAATACTGAAATTGTCTATCAAGCTTTAAATAATCACAGTGAACATGTGGCTTCAGATATCTTTAAAGCGTTAACCCTAACATGAACCCAAGCTCAAGGACTATGCATTGCAAATTTTAACACCTTCAAAATGAAACTGCTACCTTTTAATCATCATAGAGAATCTATTTTGTCTCACGTTTTCCACTGACATGAGATGAAATAATTATATTGACTCAGTTGCTTGGTCTGATCCTAGGAAAGTTGGTTTACTGTGCCGTGCCAGGAAGTTATTCTTGTCAGAATCCGTCTTAAGGATTTATAAATCTCTTGTCTGGTGTTCCTCAAGATTCTCGACAAATTCCAAAGGATATGCAATGTTATTTATCCTAAACTAGCATCTCGACTTCAGTCATCTTCCAACTGAGACTAACTGATCATACTTGCTAAATAAGGAAGATCAGCCATTATGCCAAGCATATGAAACGGCATACACTATTAAACATATATAAACCGAATGTTCAGACCTTGCTCTCTTAAGACAAAAATGCTATAATTTAAACAGCATGTATAAAATATTCGTGAAAGCGAAAGTGTATGGCATTCTTACTACATACACCATAATACCTCAATGTCTCTATGAAAATCCTAACTAGTTCCTATATGTACAGTTCCTGTCTGTGGGGGAAGAGGAATATAATAACAATAATAAAAATGAATATTTACAAAAATGACACAGAAATATTTCAAAAAGCGATATTTATTTCTGCTATTTACAGAAAATGTGGCACAAGGCCAACAATGGGGAATGGAGGGAAAAGGACGGTCTTCTTCTGTCTTAACTTTAAACTCTGGTAGCCACAAACATTGACCCAAACATACCACAATATTCCTAACACCAAAAGAACATATTCTTACTTACCCTTTTTACTACATCCACCATAATACCTCATTGTCTCTATGAAAATCCTAACTAGTCCCCATATGTATAATTCATTAACTGTGAGGGGAGGAGGAAACAGCAATTATAAACTAGCCCCAATGTGTATATTTCGATGTGAAATATTCCGAACAATCACCATGAAAGTATTTATAGAAAAGACACAGAGAGGCAACCTTACGGCGATGGGAATAGGACTGAAACCGAGCCGCTAGATAAGGAACGATAATACTGCTGATTCTTCTCTGTATTTTATCAAGTAGCTCAAGGGAGCACCGGACCATATGTGACAGTAATATTCTAAGCATGGCCGAATGGTAGACTTATAAATATGTAAGATAGATTCTGAATTAAACACATAGAATATATATATATATATATATATATATATATATATATATATATATATATATATATATATATTTATATTTGTACACATTTCTAATAAATGACTTTATTTTGAAGAAATGGCAAGACGCTTGGAACAACTGTCAAAACAACAAATTATTTAAAATCAAAACCTCTCTAAAGAAACAACTAACTGAACACAGAAAATCACGCAAAGAAGACGTGGTTTTATCCCGTATTCGCATAGGACACACGCACATAACTCACTCCTTCCTCCTAAAAGACGAAGATCCTCATGAATGCATAGCATGCCAAGAGGCTTATACTATGAAGCACTTCCTGCTTGATTGCGGTGACATGGCACATATTTGAAAATTATTTTACAACGTGAACAACTTGAAAGAACTTTTCGAAAAATCAAACACCAATTTGATCTTGACCTTTCTTAGGAAAGTTGGACTATACAATAAAATATAATTCCAATTTGGTGTTTGATGATGAAAGGGGAAGCTTTGATACTTGCTAGGTGAGAAATTTTCAAAGAACAACGCACCTCTGAAAACAGTGAATTTTTTTTTTTAAAAAAAAAGCAAGACAACATCGAAAAAGAAAGAAAGGAAAGGGAGAGTCTTTTTGAAAGCATTTCAACCTTATTTAAAGAAAAAGAAGAAAAAAACAAAAACCGACTGTTTGACCATAAATGATCTCTTGCTGATCGATGGGTCGTTAAGTTATAAACAAACAAACAAACAAACAAATTGTACACATTTCATTGAATACGACGAAGGTGCTTTTATTCAGTTTTTTATACAATTTTTCATGCGATCTAATAATGCGCTCGGCTAAAAAGAACATTCAGACAGTTTTTATATAATTTATCACCCGAAAAGAAAAAAATTATTAGATCGCATGAGAAATTGGATAAAAACTAAATAAAAGCACCTTGTCTGTCGTATTCAATGAAATGTGCATGAAAGAAAGATTGCTGCCTAACTACACAAATATATATATATATATATATATATATATATATGAAGAAAAATATATACGGAAAAAACAAAACAAAAATCCTTATATACGATTATGCTGTTTTAATGTTAATATGTCAACGTCGGACGTTTCGGTCTAATAAACCATCTTCAGGACATATTCACAAATTATAACATTATCAATACAACATGACAAAGACGATGTACATTAGCTCCTTGATAAGACTTGTTCAAACAAATAACTTTGTAATGTTGTATTGAAAGTTTATAATATCATGTCCTGAAGATGGTTTATTAGACCGAAAAGTCCGACGTTGACATATTAACATTAAAACAGATAATCGTATATATTTGTTTATATATATATATATATATATATATATATATATATTACGCTAAAAAGCGATTTATATAAGGCCAAGCATCATAGAGATCATTGAACGTCTAATACTCATAAAGGGACCAGATGAATTAAAAGGTTCATTTGTCTTTATTTTCGTTGTGAATTCTGGATTTTCATTTTACTGAATCCCTACATGCAAGCTGCTAGTGGCCCGTTGGCGAGAGGCCGATGGCAACGCCAGCGGTGCTCTCGTGGAAGCCACCAGCAGGCCACCGGTGGGCCTCTAGCGTAGTAACATTGCCGAGATGAACACGCCGGCGGTCCGACAGCGGGCCACCAGCGGTAAACGCCAGTGGCATGCCGCCCATTGGCAGATTGATGGCTGGCCTATAGGGAATCTCAATAGATTGTTTAAGTAATTTTGTTTTATTGCATTTCACTATTAAAACTGACAAAAAAAAATTCCTGTCATTTTTGACGGCACGATTACGCTGGCATTTTATTAAACTGTGGATTTTAATGAAAATCATTTCCATCTGTCACAGAGTTAGATTTTCGTAACTGGGTACATTGGGCTGGAGTAAAAATTTTAAGAAAATCTATGTCTTCTCGACGCCAAACAAAGTAGATTTGAAACAGTGCGTAATGGGCGATTTGCAAATTATATCTATATTTTAAATAACGTCAGCGTATTTAATAAAACGGGAACGCGAAAATAAAGATGCGAAAAAATGAAAGGAAGGAAATGTCTGGCTAGAAAATAAATATATTGGTTAAATAGAAAAGGAAATAAAGCATAAAGGTAAATGTAAACACTAAGCGAGGGACTAAGACGTTAGTTGTCGAGAAAAGTTGGTCACTCCCGTCTTTTCAAGTTATTCATTCAATGAGCTTGTTTAATTGAAGAGGTGAACTTAAGCCGACGTGTATCTAAGCGGATCTATGATCACTCGACATCATCCAATTAATTTTCGAGAGGTTTATATTCAGAGAGTTCATTGTGACGTCTTTGATAAAGGATCTGATGTTTTTGTATTGCCTTCCTTCACAGACAACTAGTTGCTCACACGCAAAATTTAATGAGTTCAGAATATATATATATATATATATATATATATATATATATATATATATATATATATATATATAAATAAAAAGGCTGAAACACTAATATTCCATGGTCATAATTTATTCCATTGGAATCGTAAATACGATCAATTCATCAGACCTACAAATTCAAAAAAAACAGAAAAAACAACTCCGGAAATAAAAATAGAATTTAGAGTGTGTAAGTATGAAATTGTGGGACGAATGTTAGACCTAAAGAGAGGGGTAACCGACGAGAGAAGGTGGGAGATTAAGCCTTAACAGAGAGAAGTTTAGGAGAGGTGAGTGGAAGGGGTTTAAGTGAGAGAAATATGAATGTTGTCGGATGTCTAATACATTAAAGATACATTTCGTGGTGACATATAATTAAATATATATATATATATATATATATATATATATATATATATATATATATATATATATACTCTCTCGTCAAATTCGACGTATGAGGGTTAAGCAGATCAGTTACCATGAAACCGACAGCCCGACAACAGCACATGGGATTTGATTATAGTGGTGAAGGTTTCGTGCAGGACCATCCACACTTTTGAAGGGCCGAATCCAGAGACCTATTGCACTAAGTGCCACAAGGTCCCCAAACGACCCTCCGCAGGGTTTGAATTCAGAGTTGTCCTTCTCCTAGACCAGTTGCCATCCAAGGCTATAGAATCCAGTCTGTCCTGTATTTATTCATAGCTGGAGGGAGAAGAAGAGGATTCACACCTTTGCCCAATGGTATTAACACGTAAGTGAATTTAATGGATTCGACTGGAATTCGAACTCGGCTCTCCGATTCCTCAAGCCGCTATCCATTATTCCATCCTGCCTATATATAATTAGTTGAAAATTGCCCCTCCCCACCAAAAAATATCGTCTTGGACAGCACGTGAAACTAACTTGTCTACATTTGTATGTAGTAGTGGGACGTTTATTCTTGCTAAATAAAATACATACTAGCGTGGAAATGATTATCTGTCTTCCGTTGTCTATGTTACTGAAAGCAAAACCCCCAAATTCATTGTTGGCGGTGGTAGACCCCCCCCCACACTCCAGCTCTGCGTTCTTTGAAACTGAAAGGCTTGGTGATATAAAGTCAGCCTCGACAATCCACTAAATGACCATGAGAATGGAAGCCGGCAAATGTGAACGCTAGCTGCCATTTGTAAGTAGAATTCGATTTAGCCAAATTTGCCCAACGTGTTTTCTCTCTCTGTGTTTGTTAATCTAACACAGTATTT